CCACAGTTGTTACTACCGAGTCTACTAGTGAAACTGCTCTCCCTGAGGAGCCCAAGAAAACTGATGAGCCGGAGAAGAAACCCGAGGAGCCAAAGAAACCAGCATATGCAGGTCTGCCAGTAGATGACTCTTCCAGCTCGTGGATGGATGTTTTGGACGAACCCATGAACTTCTCTGATGATGAGGAAGAGCCAGTTCCTGATCCGCAAAAGGAAGTTACTCTCGTCGAAAAAGTGGTGAAGTCTGAGCCAATTGTTGAAGATGAAACCAAGACCATTACAACAGTTACCACCACAGTTGTTACTACTGAATCTACTAGCGAAACTACTCTCCCTGAGAAGCCCAGGATAACTGATGAACCGGAGAAGAAACCTGAGGAGCCAAAGAAACCAGCATATGCAGGTTTACCCGTGGATGACTCTTCCAGCTCGTGGATGGATGTTTTGGACGAGCCCATGAACTTCTCTGATGATGAGGAAGAAGCAGTTCCTGATCCGCAAAAGGAAGTTACTCTAGTCGAAAAAGTGGTGGAGTCTGAGCCAGTTGTTGCTGCTCCGATCGTGGATGAATCCAAAACAATTACAACAGTTACAACAACCATTGTCACTACTGAGACGAGCAGCGACTCTGCTCTTCCTGAGGAGCCCAAGAGCGCCAATGAACCGGAGAAGAAACCCGAAGAGCCAAAGAAACCAGCATATGCAGGTCTGCCCGTGGACGACTCATCGAGTTCCTGGATGGATGTTTTGGATGAACCTATGAACTTTTCTGATGATGAAGAAATTGAGCAAAAGACACCTTTGGCACCATTTAAGAACGTAAAGGTTAAAACTATTATTGAGACCGTTAACGATGTTCAAAAGCAAGACCAACCAGTACTAATAAGTACTCCCCTGGCACCGTTTGAAAATGTTACTGAGGCTGCAGAAGTAGTTGAAGAGGTTCAGAAGCCAGTCGAAACTATTAACATAATAACTGAGACTGTGAATACTACAACGGGAAATACGCCTTTGGCTTCTTTCGGAGTTCTTTCGGACTCTCCAGCCACTACGGGTGTAGATGATGCGTTCATATGTGAAACGTCCTACTGGTCAGCTACACTCAAACCGGGTCAGAAACCTACCACAACAACAGTTGAGACAACCGAGACAGAACCAGAAGAAAGGGAACCCATTAAAATTACTATTCCCAGCGGTGAAGTTGTTGAGGAAGTTTCCGTAAAGTCACCTACAGATCAGCCTACAACATGGTCAGCAATTGTTCAAACCGAGGCAACTGTCTTCCCAGCACTAGAAGAAAAGAAGGTAACTGAAAAGACGCCTGATTGGTCTACTGTTGTTGTGAGCAAAACAACCGACTTCCAGGAGCCAAAGGCCCTGGATAATGTGGTAGAATCGGAGAACGTAACAACGACGACAACAACATATGTGACAACAACAGTGACCACACATAAGGATGTTCCCATTGTGGAGGATAACTCGCAAGCCACATCATATGTGTCCACTGTGGTTACCAGTCATAAAAATGAGTTGGTCTTGGAAACTGAACCGACCGTACAAATTGAATCAATCAATCCTGAAAACCTGTTCGAGAATCTATATCGCGAAGGATTTAAATTACATCCCCAATACGATTTGTTGCACGGACAATATCAACAATTACAGTTAGTTAACTTAACGGAGGAACCTGCTACAGTAGAACCGAAAGATGAAGGTCCTTCTATAGAAGATTATGTGATAATTGAACCTGAAGCGATACCCCAAATTAATTCCGAAATCCTTGCTTTCAATCTTTATCTTGATCAGACCAAGACTCGTATAGATGTTGACACAATTAGCCAGTTGCTCACACTCGAAAAAGCAGCTGAGGTTATTGTAGAAAAAGTCCCTGTAGAGGAGGAAGTCAAGGTAGTAGAAATTCCTGAGAAAAATCCAATTGTAGAATCTTCTATTGAGCCCCTAGCTAAAGAACCTATCGCCCTTGAACAAACTCAGCCCCCTACCCAACCCAGTGAACTGTTCTGGCACCTCAGCCAGGACGATTTCGTCAAACTTATCAATCACTATAGACAAACAGCAGGCGATGCTTACGCATTGCTGCCCAGGACAACCACAGACAAGACGAAAGCTCAGGAAACTCAAGACGATAAGCAAAAGACTGACAGCATTACAGAAACTGTAGTGACAACCACGATTACGGATCGCGTTGTAGAAAAGACTGAACCAGAAGCATCGTCATTACCAATCATTCCTACCGCCGAACCACTGGCTGCCTCACCGCTTGGCAGTCTCGACCAGTTGCGTCTGAATCTGCACCTGGACGACTGGCAGTTAGCCAGTGTCGATGCAGATTTGGGCGACGACTTGTTCGACAAACTGAAACGTGCTGATGTTGCCAGTAGCGAAGCGGAACTCGACAAAGACAAGAAGCAGGATCAACCCGATGGTGATATCAAGAAACCAGAAGGGGTTCCTCAGCTACCAGACAAAGACGACCATGACAGTGACGATGATGACGAAGACGACGATGATGACGACGAGGGGGGTAAACCGACTGTGCCAGAAATTCGCAAGCCGAACGACGACGATGATAAACCGAACGACAAGGATCCTGGTAGTGGTAGTAGTGGTAATGTGACCCCCACACCCGAGCACGATGCCCAGTATGGTCAGAACCGTAGCTGTTCGTCGGAGTATAGGTCCACCGATCTGCCGGGTGGTGTGGGTCATTGGCGTGACGAAAGTACTTATCTGGCTCTAGAAGCCGAACAGCCTCAGGTTAAAGTAGAAAGTGTATCACCATCGGTTGTTGTTGAATCTGTACTAACCGAAACTAAAACCACAAGTCCCATCCCCGTTCCCGAACCCGTCTCTGCCCCTGAAACCAGCCCCAGTACAAGTACTAGTCCCCATAACGTTGCAAACGCACTAATCCAATTGGCAAGCGCCACAACTCACACGCTGTCCGCCAAGGCGAACGCAGCAGCAACAGCAACACATGCAGCAGCGCTGGCAGCAACCAGTGCTTTATTGCCGGTTGCAACGGCCGTAGTCGATAAGCTAACGACAACAACACCAGCGGAGACAACATCAGATGTTGCTGCCGTCCAGCCTGTGGTTGCTCATGCAACACCGGCAGAAACAGCAGCAGCAACACCAGCAGCAGCAGCAACACCACCACCAGCGGTAACACACACCGAAACGACAACAACTAGCAGCGGGGAAGAAAATGTGGGTGTTACAAAGCGCACCACGACAACAACCACAACCATAACGACAACAACCACAATTGAAACGCCATCGACAACTAGCACCACAACGACAACAGCAACCACAAGCAGCAACGATCTGCAACAACAACGCCAGAAGGTGAACATCACATTGAGCCTTCGTTTATTCATAATTCTAATTTTTGCAGCTTTTCTGTGTGGTTTCGGTATTTGTTCATGGCTTTTATACGGCAATCGTTCGTGTTGCTGTTGTGGCCAGGTCCCGGCCAACACATGCTGCTGCGGCAATATGTTGCAAGATGCAGCAGCAGCAAAAGGCCCGGGAAATTGCCCACCCTAAAGTTGGTCTGGGCCTCGTCCACAATAACAACAACCCAATAATGCAATTGCCTAACTACTAACGTAACTTAAATTATTGAAAACATGTTTGATTTTTTATGTTCTACCTAAGTTATTCATTTTTATTATTTCTGTATTGTATGTGTTGTTTTGCTAAACGCATCCAGTAGGCTTATGTTTTGAGTTTGTATACTTAAAAGAAAAACAATTTACTATATACCTTTATAAAAGCAACTAACTTAGACTTAGAAGTAAAGAAATTTGTAGATTTGATGTACTCAAGTTCCTTCTACTAATTGATATTAACCTTTGTAAAAGCCCAGTAATCTAGACTACTAATGGTAGTACCTAATAATAATAAAATCTATATTAACCAACTTGCACGTTTTAATACTGAGCTGATTTATATCCATATATCCCCCAATCGTATACGTAGTTTTCTTCGCAGATTTTTCGCACACCAGAGCACAAGACACAAGCACACAAGATCACGCATATCGAGCACTTTTCCTGCCCCACACACAGTGCCGCACAAAAGTGTGTGTGCACGCAATTACCGAGTTCCCAAATGCAGAAAAACTGTCCATTATGTGTACCGCACGTATATATATGAGTTCATTGCCTTGCCTACCGCCCTGCTATCAAGAATTTGCGCGCAGAGCATATTCCTCCCTGCCATTGCTATAAATACCCAACCCAACGGATCCGATACGATCCGATCCATGCGGTGCAGGCCGTCTTACTTGCTCGAAAATAGTCTCCCGTTTATTTTACAAGTTTTAGTCTGCAATGTGCAATGTACGCGTTGGGTTTGACTGCGAATCCCGAAGAAGAATTTCAAAAATCTTAATGTTTGTTAGTGCCAATGTGTGTGTAGTTCAATAGGAATAGGTAAAAAACAAAGTATTTTCAAGGATTCTATAAATTTGTAAATATATTGTCGAAAAAAAGTAAGTTTAAATATCACTCAAGCATTGCATTTAATTTTCAAATTCTCTACCTAAAGACAGAAATTAAGAATCGCGGCTTTTGGTACTTTTGTCTATCCGCTGTCTAAACGCCTACCTCATAAAATGCCGCCATTTAAAATAAGATTACTATTTATGCCAAATGCATGTGTTACGTTACGTTAAACGAAGTTATATCTAAGAGCTAGCGTTGTTTTAAAAAGCATTTATTAGCATTCCTTAAAAAGATTCCATCTTGTTATATGGCTGTGCATTGCATCCATTTGAATTTTATAAATATCCATATATATAATTATGCTACTCTATGTACATATGTTGTATGTGTATAGAAGCCGGCCACAAATATTTACATCAACTTCGTTCCTTAGCAATAATGTATCAAAATTTGCAATTTTAATTAATATTAACCCACTTTTTACACCATCTCCCCAACAACAAAATGAAAAAAATTTAAAAAACTATAGGAACTAATTACGCAAGAACTCGACGAACTGCTACAATCGCTTTCGAGCGTCGAGGATGGCATCGCCAATATGAACCAGAGCAGCCTGGAGGGCATGCTAGAGGGATTGAAGGTAATGATAGTCTAAGGCCCAAATAACACCCACCTTTTTGGATGCTTGACTCGGCATGTACTCAAAGTAGCTAGATTAATATTTAATTAAAATATACTCACACCTTGTACATAACTTTTGTAAACGATTATTGGATGCTGGCGTGTGTCAGAGAATTTTAATAACTCAATCGCATCACTCCATATAGAATCGTACATTTTTTGTCAGGTTCTTTTTGTTTGAACAGAATCCCTCTTTTTGTTGTTATTACTGTCCAGTTGTAGTAGTCGTACCTTTTGCTGTCTAAATATTAAATTTTGTAGGGCCTAGAACCCAATACAATGGTTACAATTTGTTCTTACGTTTGTTACAAACACATTTCTGAAATCTGTACTTTATACGCCCGATGTGCAGCTAATCCAAAGCAATCTCGAAGTACATGAAAGGGACGCCATCGATTTGAAGGCCCAGGCGAAGAAGTTACCCACGGACCCGGCAACCGAGCGTTTGCTCAACGAGACCGTGGATCGCATCGATTTGCTACTACGCCGCACTCAGCAAGGCATAACCATGATAGCGGTGAGTAGTTAATATCTTCATCTTAAACTTCCAGTTCTTATTTTCCTGTAACCCATCTAGAATGCTATGCATGGCCAGAAGAAGCGTCAGCAGGAGATTGACGAGTACCAGCAACATCTGCTGGAACTAGAGCGCTGGATCATCGAGGTTTCCGCGGAGCTGGCTTCCTTCGAAACCACTTCGGATAGCAGCACGGATGAGCAGGTGCTCAAGTCGCAGGTGGAGAGGAGCCAGCAACTGCTGCGCACCCTCAAGGATCGCCAGCAGTCCATGGAGGATTTGGTGGATCAAACGCGACACCTGCAATCGCAACCCGATGTGGCTCCCTTGGCCGACACGCTGATGGAGCAGCTGCAGAGCATCATTACCATTCTGCGAGAACAGGTCACAGTGGCCACTAAGCGCATCTTTACCATCGAGAAGCGCATCGTGGATTTGCGAAAGGCCAAGAGCGAGGAAGTCCAACGGCAGCGTGTGCTGGCTGATTCACTCATCAAGCCACCAACGGAAGTTCCAGCGGCGAGCCCAGAGGCACATGAATCCATCGAGTCCAACGAGAACACCATCGACTCCAGTTCCATGCCGGAGGAGGAGATCAAACCCAGTGGTGTGTATGTGGAGACACAGACATCGCTTAGCCTGCAGCAGCCCCCAGTTCGGGAGGTGACCACCACCACTGTGGAGGCGCAGACCAGCTTCAAGGAGCCCGCTGTGGAAACCGCTGAGGTAGCTCTCCAAACCCAAAAGGAGCGCTCCCCAACCGAGAATATTATGGTTACCCAGACGGTGCAGCATGGCCAGGAGACCATCCAGATCGACACCACTCGCAACAAGGATGTGCCTGATGTGCCCGAAGATGTCCAGATTGAGGCTCGCTATCATCAGCGACCGCAGGGCGATGTGGATCGTGCCACAGAGCTGATCCTGAAAAATGTACCTCAAGCATTTGAGACCACTTTTGTGGAACCAGATGAGACCACCACCGAAGTAATTGTGGGACCCGATGGCACTAAGCATATTGTGCTCAAGAAAGTCACCCGAACCCGCCAACAGATTGTGCAGCAGCAGCAGATCAGCTCAATTGAGACAATCAGCGATTCCGACGGCAACATTGAGGTGCATTCCACGGGCCAGATTAACCTGGAGAATGTACACACCACGGACACCAAAGCTGATCCCGAGGAGGGCAGTGTCCACACTGTAATCACACAGCAAACACGTGGTGCAGTTGTGGATTCATCTCAGCCCGAGGGTGTGATCTTGCAGGAATTCGAAACGGAGCCCACAATTGAGACGTACGAGGAAGTGATTGCTCCAGGATCCCAGGCACAACTGATTCCCATGCAGCCCGGCGATGTCCAGACCCAAGGAACCATCCGAGCAGTAGTGCAGCAGGTGACCCGCAAGGTGATCCGTAAGACACGCAAGATTATCAAGCGCGTTGTGATCATCGACGGAAAGGAGCACATCACCGAGGAGGTGGTCGAGGAGCCAGAGGAGATTACCGAGGAAGAGACAGCCCCGCATATTAACGTGAATATTTTGCGAACTGTTGACGGCAAAGTGGTAAGCGAGGAGGAGTTCCAGCGTTTGATGCAGGAACCCGGCGTTGTCATCGAAGAAGTTGCCACGGATCTGTGCAAGCCAACAGCAGAACCGCAGCAACAGGTATTTGATATTGAGTCTAACCAAGTCACCACCACCACAAGAACAACAATAGCAACCACACAAGAACAACAACAAGAACAAGAACAGCCAGAACAACAGACACCACAACCAACAACAACAGAAACGACTAAAGAAGCACCTGTAGAGTTGCCAGCACCTCAAGTAGATGTTGAACAACCCGTAGAAGTTGCCACTACCAGTCCCGTTCATGTTCCAACAGCGGATGTAGCTGAACCCAAAGACTCCTCAGATCCAGTCAACCAAGCAATCCTAGATGTCGAAACAGTGGTTGAAGATATCAATGAAATTTGGCCACTGGAACATCATCTCAAACCCACCAACATAGACTTCTCTCAGCACATCGAAGAATTGGCAGCACCAGCAACCACATCAGAGACTGAAGCCTCCATGCCAGTAGAGGAGATTTGGCCAACCAGTCCAGAAACGGGCAACTCGTTGACCCTGGAGCACTACGAATTCGAGCCACAATCACCTCATGAAGAGAGCATAAAATCTGAAGAAGCTAAGCCTGAAGAGACTGAACCGGAATCTGCTGTTGAGATTAAGCCAGAGCCCATTACCACTGGAAGTATTACCATAACCAAGACTACAACCACCATCACGAGCCCTACGGAATTACCAAAGGAAAGTATTATACAGGATTTGACTGCAGAAGAATCACAGCCTACTGAATCCAAGACCAAGAGTGACACTCAGAGTTTCCTGGAAGCCGAGCAGACTCTCTCCGCAGCCCTAAGGGAACAATCTTCAAAGCCGACTGAAACTTCAGTTGTTGATGTTGTTCAAACTCAGCCTGAGGAAATTCTGGTTGAAGAAAGGACTGTAGAGATTTCCACCATCAAGACTGAAGAACAACAACCAGAGCCTGTTCCATTGGAGGAGGTTGAATCAGTGTCTGTGGAATCTGAACCAGTAGAGCCACAACAGAAACCAGAGGTATTGACAGTAATTGACACAATCGAGAAGACTGAACAAAAGCCAGAAGAACCCTTCCTTGAAAAGCAGCCAGCTCCTGATCAAATCGATCTGCGTGCCGCCACTCAACTCTTCATCTCTGGAGAGGCTGCAGCTTCAACTGCTCCACAAAAGACCTTCCAAATCACCGCACCCTCCCTGGAGGACAATGGTGCTGGTGTGCTGAAGGTTGTTCTGGGCAAGGAAAGCACCACCGAAGAGGAGACCACAGTTCCGACCACCGGCAAGGTTAGCATGACCATCATTGAGACTTCGGCTGCTCCCGTCGCTGACGCCAAGCGGCGTCGAAAGAGAAAGAAGAGAAGAGATACAAAGCACGAGGAGGAGCTTGAGCAAGAACCAGAACAAGAGATTGAGCCGGAGTCTGTGGAAGTGTTCGTCAAGGAGCCTGAGGTTGACTCAGAAGTGCCCATTTCTCCGGAGGATTCACCACGTGACACCGTGCGCCATGAGTCCATTGTTGAGATCAGTCCCGATAGCGATTTGTCCAGTATTGAAATTGACTCGAAGGTCAAGGTGGTGGAAGATGCAGTCGTCTCTTCGCCCTCGGAATCACCAAGGGCGCCTCTGGTTGAATTGGTTATTCCCACTGAGGTTGTGGAGCTGGCATTGGTGGAAGATGAGGAGCAGCAGACCACACCGCGTGTTCCCTCGCCCGCTGAAAAACCCGAAGTTGAGCAGGATATTAAATCCGTGCAGACTTCCCCACAGCATCAACCCAAACTGGATGAGACTGCAGTGCAGACGAGCTTGGAGGTTCAACCAGATAACCAGGAGAATGAATCGCAAACCTTGATTGTAGAGATTACGGAAACTGAGGCACAAACCACTCCCCGAAGCGAAGACAAACCAGTGGCAGTCGAGATAACCACCACCGAGATTCAAACCGATGTGAGTGGCCAACCAGCGGAAACTGTAGAGATTTCAAGCCAAACTACCGTGACCACCACAATCGAAAAGGAACTGCAGACCACTCCGAAGGATTCGCCCCGCGCAGCAGAGCCAGGCAGCAGTGACGTGGTAGAATCTCTGGTCCAGGATTTGGTCAAGGATATGACCACCGATCTGCCAGTGCGCACCAGCGAACAATCCACCGTAACTGAAACCACCACCACCACAGAGACCCATGCGCAAACCAATACTCCGGAGCCAACGGAACATGTTGAATTTGTCAGACCGGAAACAGTTCATGAAGAGACCTCAACGGTGGAATTGGTGCAAGTCGCCGATGGTGAGATGCAGACATCGCCTCGTGGAGAACAGCAGCCCGTATCCCTGGATGACAATTCTCTGACCGCCACTTCGATTTCCGTTTCGGAACCCTACGAACTGGAGGTCAAGACCACAGTGGCCATTCCTGCTGACTCCGATACATCTGCGGCCGAGCCGACGGTCTATGAATATACTCAGACCATGCAGCTTCCCAAGCAGGATAAGAAATCCAAGAAGGACAAGAAAAAGAAGCAGAAGAATGAGCCTCAAGTGGAGCAGCAGCTGCCAGAGGAACCGCAAATCAGCGTGACCGTGGAAATCGCACCGGAGTTGCTTTCAGAATCTGGAATTGTGGTGTCAACCAACCAGCAGATTGAAGACGTGCCTCATGTAACACCAGTCCTGGAAACTCCCATAGAACCCGAAGAAGAGGGAACATCGAAGACCCAACGGGTGCAACTTCAAATCACCAAGACCACAGTCTATGATGAGTATCCGGATCTGCCAGTGCACATCACCGAGCAGAACAAGGTGCTCATCGCCTCCCAGCAGAATAAACGCTCTGGAGCGGGACCCACATCCTCGGCGGTGACCATCGAAGAGGTTGCTTCACCTACAGAGGAGCTAGTGGTGCCCATCACCCCGGGACCGGACAATCTCAGTGGCGAGCCCAACAACATTTGGTTTAGTGCCACCACCAGTGTGGACAAGACACCCATTGAGCTCTCCCAGGCTTTGATTATGAGCGAGAGTTTGCAGCACTATCCAGGACAACAGCAACAGAACCAGCAGCAGCCGATCCTGATCTCCACCAAGGAAGCCATTGGTGATCGCATCAAGCAGCTTAAGCAGGCATCGCCCCAACAAGCCACTCCGCTGAGCAATGTGCTCCATTTGGCCACTTTATCTGAACAGATTAAGGAACTGCCTACGGAGCAACGCCTCTTCGAGGTCACTGAGGGGCTCCAGGATCTTGATGCTGCCATCAAGAATGGTGACAAGACGGTGATTCAAACCACTGTGATCACGGTGATTGAGAAGGTGTCAACTTGGCTAGAAACCATCGAGTATCGTGTGTACCTCATCCGCCAAAACTCCAATGAAGGACCCTCCGAGGAGAAACTGGATAACTATAACCAACTCAACGAAGAGCTGAGCACCATCAAGCAGAATGTCGGCAAATTGGAGCGACAGCTGTCCAAGGCTGAGCCCGAGTTGCTGCAATGCGTGGATAGCCTCAAAGAGCACGTGGATGCCGTGGAGCAGGTTACGCAACAGAACCAGGTGCAGGATAGCAATGACCTGGAAAAGTGGCACAGCTTTGAGGTACTCCTTTACAACGTGTCCTCCGTTTTGGCCCATCTCCAGCAGAGCTACGATCTTCTGATCAACCAGGAGTATCCTCTGTCCGCCAAACTCGCACAGCTGGATGAGCTGGAGCAGCATCATGAAGCGGCCCAGCAGCAGCTGGCGCAGCTCTGCCAAAATGCCCGAGCCTTCCAGCGTGACTTCCCTGGCAAAAAGATGCCGCAGGATGTGCACAATGCCTTTGAGACCAGCAAGAATATTGGCAACAATATCCAGGCAGAGCGAGAACGTGTTCTCCAACTGCAATCCCTGGCGGAGGAGTACGAGCAAACCCTCAAGGAGTTCACCAAAATCACAGTTCTGGCCGACAAGTTGGTTGAGAGTCCCATAGTTTCTAGTTCCCTCGAACAGCTAAACAACGAGGTGCAAAAGCAGAGGAAGTTCTTCGTGAATCTCAGCCACTGTCGCGCCATGTTGGAGTCCTTGGAGGAGAACATCGATAGTGAGACCCGTGAGAAGCACTCTGACCTGCACAAGGAGCTCTACAACAGGGCTACTAGTCTACTGGATAAGGCCTCCGAAAGGTCTTCCAAACTGGTGCAGGCTGCATCCCGCTGGACTGTCCTGGAGAAGGGCATGCGAGATGAACTTCAGTGGCTGCAGGTGGCTCAACAGAGAGTTCCCGATCTGTCTGCCGTAACATCCGCCGACTATGATCAGTATACCACCCTCTATCAGTCCCTAAGCAATGATATCTCACATCACTATGTGAAGATGACGCAGCTTTCGGGAATAGCCAACAAATTGCAGCTGCTGGTGCAGGCCCCCAATCTCGTGGAGGAAACCAATGAGGCTTTGATAGTTCTACTCAAACTTCGTGAGGAGGTTGCCTTGTATCTTCATCGCCTGCTGGTCTTTAAGGAAATCTGGGTGCAGTACGAACAGCAAACGGATAAACTGGAGGCCTTTGTGCGCGAAGCAGAGCAGGAATTGCGGCACATCCAGATCCCATCGCAGCCCACTCATCAGCCCATCGAGCATATGCGCCAATTCTGGGAGATCAAGGCCCGCTTTGAGCTCCACAACAATGTGCGAACCGATACTGGTCTAAGTTTCGAGAAATCCCTGCAGGTTATCCCACTGGCCGATGAGATGCTCCAGCGGCAGTTCCATGCTCAACTGGAGGATCGCTGGCAGGCGGTGGCCCAGGCCATCGAACTCATCCAGCACAACATTGTGGAGAGCCTATCGTCGGAGGATGTGCCAGCGGGTGAGAAACTCCAGATGGTGGAGCGGGAGCTGCAGGAGATCTACCTGACCATGACCAGCATGAAGGGTGTGATTAAGAACGAGGAGGAACTCTGTCTGTACATCGAACGAGTCCAAGTGCTCCGCACCCGCGTTGGATTCATTGGAAACGAATTGGGACGGATTGGACTGCAAGAGCCCGCCATTGAGCCGGAAAAAGTGGGTGAACTATTCGCCCTCTCGCACAAGATCAGCACCCAGATCGCTGAGGAGCTTGAGGGTGCCTCTGTGCTGCGCGACCAACTGCAAGCCATCCAAGAGGGTATCAGCAACCAGCGCAAACACCAGGCCAAGATCTCGGTTATTCTGGATGAATGTGAAGCCGCCGAGCGCCAGGGAGCAGATGTCCTCGAAAAAGCCGTGGCCGATTGCCAAGGCGCCGGCGAGGAGCTGGTGACCAGCTGGCAGGAGATTATGCGCATCCGCCAGATGCTTCACACCCTGCCCATGCGTCTCAAGATGTCTGTTTCCCCTGTAAAGCTGGAGCGAGATATCTCCCAGCTGCAGGACGACCACGCCTTCCTCGAGAGCAAGTGCACAAATATCATGGGCATCCTGCGGAATCGTCTGGCCGTCTGGTTGCGCTACGAACGCCAACTGGAGCTGGTTCACGGCTCCGTCCAAGAGACCGACTTCATGATGGAACTCATCCGGGTGCACGGTCAAGTGGACTACGAGCGCCTGCGCAAAGCCACGGAGCGCTTGGAGGTAAGTTTTCGCCCCTATATTTTATGACTTTGTTTACGCGCTCTGTTAGGGTTCGGATGGTATCTTAATGGTTCCTATCTTGCTGCCTCCTTTTTATCTCACTACCTGCTGAGAGGAATTTTCGCGAGCTGCTTATCAGCATTGTTTTCCCTGTAGGAAATTGGCTACAAAAACCGCAACATTTCCCTAGGAGCTCTTAGTCATATTCAGATAGTTGAATCTTATACATACATCTTACGAAAGTACAGCAAAAAATTATTTGAATAAAAACGTTGACTTTAAAAATTGTGAGTTTTCTAAATAACACTAATTTAAACGGTTTTATACTCAAGTAACCTAATTACAACTAAAATAAATGATTTATGATAGGATAACTTATTAAAATTTTTTTTTCCATACTTAAAAATATTTTAAATTGCTCTTTAAATTAAATGATTTAATCGAAATGGATCAAATTACTATTATTAATTTATTTATATTTCGTTAAACCCCATTCTTCTAAATAATTGTTAGTTTAATTATTGAATATTGTAACATTTATCCTATTTATTATTAAAAATCGAACATTATTGACCATGTAGACCGCTCTTCATATATAATTCACACGAGTTTTGTTTGAATTGTGTGTTGGGCCCGCTGCCCAGCGGAATAAAAAGCTATATCGCATCAAACTTTTCCCCAAGCTTTTTCGTAAGCTCCCGCCGTATGTGGTGCTCTTTACGTAGCCAGTTTATCGTGGCCGCAGTTGACGTTAACTTCGAACCGAGCGCGTATCTCCCGTCGCGGTCGGAAAACCATATACCATACAATATACTTTCGACTAATCCATCTTAATCCGGAAATTAACCCCTCGCAGGGACTCGCTGGCGATCTACACAACCGCGAAGAACTGATTGATGAGCTGAAGGGTGCGGCCAAACCTCTGATCGAGAGCTGCGATGTCCAGATTGTCGAGCAGATCGAGTCGGCGGTCCAGGAGGCGGTAGTCGCCTGGAACGATACCAGCGATAATCTCCAGCAACTGCGAACCCGCTACCAAAGAGCCGTCGAGCTGTGGGACAAGTACCGCAACGCCTCTGCGGCCGTCAAGAACTCCATTGACCAGCAAATGGACACGGTCAAGTCCCTGGAGCAGCCCCTGGATGCCCTGCAACATGCCAAGGTGAGTGCCTCCCAGTGCTTCCGTGACCCATCCGGCAAACGGGTCGTATGAGTGATGTGTATCGCGTGGGCGCGACAGTGATGCCAACGACCTGTTTGTCAGGATAGGTGAAATATTGAACAGGAAATGACAATAATTGAACAAACAAATGGGACACGATTTGGGTCACTACTAGTTCATTCTAAATGCAAAGAAAACAAACCATTAATATGTTTTTAAAATGTTCTAGAACCTTACAATCTTAAAATCATTTTGTGTAGGGGGTATATATAATCATTTCATGTAGAATTAGGTCAATTTAAAATATGTACATTTCCGGAAAGGTTTTTTTTCTTTTCAAGATAAGGATATCAAAAGTAAGCTTTAGTTTTAGGCATTTTGGTTTCCTGTTTTCCGAATAAAAACTTATACTATATCATCACTGGCGGGCCAAATCGGGTGGTCTTTTTTATTTTGGCGGCAAACTAGGACAGAATGGGACGCTTTAATTGCCCACTGGAGACGCGGGTGGGCAAGCTAGTAATTACATTGATTTTCTCCGTAGTACGCGCCCTATCAATTTTTTCGGGCGCGTCAATGTAATCGGTTCGTAATAGTTCCGCCATACATACATATGTGAGCTTACCTGTTCCGTTGTGTTTGTGTCATAAATTATGCTTGGGTAAATAAAACAGACATCGTCGTACGATTTTCTTTTCCTTTTGTCAGCATTTACTTAAAAAATTAACGCATACTCGGTTAGTCGGTTTGTGTTTATTGATCATTAGGGTCATTATATTATAGGCCTATACACGATGGTGTAATTATATTTTCGGACAGGCAGGCACAAACCAAACCAACTGTCATTTCACACAGGAGGAGAGTTTATCAACCCGATGTCGGGGGTATATTTCCGTATTATGGTATTTTTGTATACATAGCAGCTTTATCAACAGCAGCAGCAGCAGCAGAAAATCAGCGGGAACAGGTCCGCAAATGCCTTGAGCTCCCAAAGAAGATAAATGTAGAAAATGTAGAAACTCAAAAACATTTCATAATACTCTATGTATGTTAAGATTTTCAATGCCACTTCTCTAAGCGCTTGTTTGCTTATGTTTCGGCGTGATAAAGCATCGGCAAATACTTGCCAGATGATATCATAGGGCGGACAGCCATTACGAAGCGCCGGCATTAGTGCTCCAAATTAGAAAACTTATTCGGCGTCAAGTAGAGTGACCTGTTTTCCCTCTCAAATTGAAATCGAAAGTGCGCCGGGCACTCGCACAGCCCTAATTACCATTTGCCGAGCAGGGAAATGCACTCGACAAACGCAGCACGACAATTGATAAGGGTCTGGGGAGCGAAATGGAACGCCAGCCCGGCCGGCTTGAGCTAAATACTTTCCGTCGTCGAGTTAAATATAAACAAGTGACATTTTGCCAGCCATCCAATATAATTGTGTGCTGGTCATCGGGGTTTTCTTCATTCAGAAAGAACTTTTAGATGGTGGAAGAGGTAGGAAATACATTAGAAATAATCATGCAAATGGAATTTTAAATGAAAGCAATTGATATATGGCTGCTATTGTGGGGGATTCTAAGGTGATCTATAGAAGCAAACTTAAGGAATTCATTTAAGAGTATATTACAACGTTACTTCATAAGGTTTTTCTTAAAAGAGAACGAAATAATCAGTATAATTAATCACAAAATGGATTTTAAGTTAAAACAGTTGGCATTGTAAAAGCTTTTAGGGTGACCAATAAAAACATTCTTAAGGAAATGAATTCTGAAAATTAATATAAACACAAAATGACTTCATATGTTAGTCATAAAATGGAACGACACTTTTCGAAGCATTAGGCAATACAATTAAAGACTTCAAAAAGAATAAAACATCATCTATAAGGCAGTATCATATATTCGGAATCTTTTATAATTATACATAGCTAAACTGGTAACTTGTTTTGGCAAGAAGATTCTGCTTAAGGAGAGGTACATGCCTCTCTGTTAATTGAGTGGTTGCGATTATCTAGACCCTGGGCTTCATTAGCTAACTCGCTCTCCATCTCTATATTCCCATTCACACAGGTATGCCAAGATAACCTGACGACCCAGAATGACAGAATCTTGGAACTGCGTGACATTGTGGCCAAGATCGCCGCCGATGTGGGCCTGGATGCCTCGGCCCTGATGCAGGGTGAACTGGATGCACTGGGTCAGAGATTGGCGGAGTGCAAGGATGCCATCACCACGCTGGCAAATGTGGCCGAAACCCAAGACAAGGAGCGCAAGGAGCTCGATAAGGAGGTTACACTGGCCAAGGAATACTTCAACAATGTGCAGCAGGTGAGGGAAAATTAATAAAATTATGAAGCCACCCTGGGGATAACCAGGGGGAACCATCCATCCTAACCAGCTATCGATTATAGCTTCGTTTAGATGGTTATTTTGCATATGTTAGCTCGGGTTTGGCGTGTGGAAATTCCCACACTAACGAAACAGCCGGCAAGTGTTATTGTTGTCGTTGCTGTTGTTAATCCAATACGAAGGACATGCTATTTTAAGTGGGTTAAACGTTGAAAAAGTTTTCGTGTACCCTGGGCTCTGGGTCCTGGCAGCCCACTCACCCACTCACCGTGGTATGGTCCTCATCATTATTGATTGATAAGAGGCGTGAATATGCTTTTTGGCGTTACTGGGGGCCTGACTGGTTGTCCAGCGAAAACTTATAAAATCGTAATTGACACTTGTCCTGCAGGAAGGGCGGTGAATATTTTATGGCCATAGGGCTGTATAATTGAGGGCTCTAGGTCCCTTGTTTTTAAACTTACTGCTGTTATATTTACCTCTGCTTAAGGTTTTGTTATGAGAATACGTAAGGAAGCCGTAATTTTTGTTTTCCTCATAATAATAGTATATTCTAAAGCAGTTCAGAACTTGTATACTAGATGTTGTTTGAGGAACCTATTATTCCTATATCATAATTAAGGTACCCAATTATGATATAGGAATAATAGGTTCCTCAAACAACATCTAGTATACAAGTTCTTTGATAAACAACAATAATTTATTTATGTATAGTCTGTCATTAAAATCAAAACCACCATAAAACTAACGGAAGCCTGTTTGATTTACGATCATAAAAACTTTTCGGGGTGTTAACGATCAACTTCATTGATAAGACCCATAAAAATGTCTTCAATAACTTACCTTACCAAATTGGGCATTTATTGGTGAGGTTTGCCAGCCACCATGTCCCACTGTGGGCTCATTTGCATGGCACATGCCAACCAGTTTGGTTCGCCTTCCTCCCCCACTCCCACTCCCAATTCCAAAGCCAAACCAAAACCCAACTCCTCCCACAACTCCTGCCCCCTCATCGACGCCTCAGACAATTGAAGTTGGCCACTGGGAGCGCGTGTCGTTGGCATGAGGTCATTGCCAGTTGGCGGAAAGAGTTGCAATCTGCCACACGTTGATTGCCATTGTTGTGGAAGCCATGGAGTGGACAGACAGACGGACGAAGTCAACAAATGGTAACCGGAGACATCCGAGCAGCCGTATTAGGGTCAGGCCAATTAGCGATGCAAAAAGAATACACAACAAACTGACCAGTGGAAAACATATATTAATTTTGATTTATTCTCTTCGCAGGACCTTTCTCGTGAGGCGCCACAAAATCCCAAAGAAAGCGAGGAGCAACTGGCCGCCTTGCGAGCCCATCTCCAAACGCTGGCCAGAACGGAAGAGCAACTACGTCAGCTAAAGGAGCGCCATCAGAACAACGAAGTGACACCTTCGGTGGCCGGAGCCGTTGATGATGATGGCGTCCTGGAGGTTCTGGCCCTGTGGCAGAAGATATTCCAGGACACCTTCCAGGAATACCATCGCCTGTCCACGCGACTTGCCCGCAGCCAGAACAGTTCGGAGGCCCTGCGATTGTGGAGGCAGTACCTCCAGCACGTCCAGTCCTTCCTCTCCTGCGCCATTCCCGAGGACTACAGCAGCCTGCGGGAACAGCAGCAGTTGTGCGCCATCCATCAGAACCTGCTCATCTCACAGCAGAGTGTGCTCTCCGAAACGCCACTGGAATCGGAGCTATCGGAGCAGTACAAGGCCCTGACCAATCTGCACAACGAAACTCTCTCGAGGATCATGCAGCGAAATGGTGAGCTGGAGCGGCGTGTGAGTGGCTGGAATGCCTATCGCCAGCAGCTGGCTGCTCTCTTGGATTGGCTGCGTCAACGGGAGGCAGAGCGTAATGCCCTGCAGTTGCGATACATTCACCTGAAGCGAGTGCCGCATCTGAAGCACCGCCTGGATGCGATGATCCAGCAGCTGGACCAGGGAGAACAGCAGAGCAAGGCCTTGCAGGAGCAGCAGCAGGAGCTGGCCCGGCATTGTGATGATGCCCTGGCCACCGCCATGCGCATGGAGCAGGCCAGCATTGGCCAGAGGATTAATAACCTCCGTGCAGCCCTCAAGACTTGGCAAGGATTCCTGCAGCGCGTTACCCAGTTATCAGAGACTTACGAACAGCGTGTGCACCAGTTGCAGCAGGAATTCGAAGCAGCTCAAAAGCTCCTGGATGACAATCCAAGTGAATCCCTACCCACTCAGCCCGCCGCCATTGAACAACTTTTGGGCGCCCTGCGTGCACAGAGAGTGCAACTGGGTGCCCAAGTTCCCGCCCTGGAGAGCCTGACGGTGACCCAGGAGGAGCTTAAGGAGTGCATCAGTCCGCACGACATGAAGACCATTCGCCAAAGGAACTGGTTGCTCTGGCAGCAGCATGCCGATCTGGACTACCAGCTGGCCAATTTGATCAACTCTATCGAGGAGCGTCTATCCCTGCTGTCTAACTATCAAATCCGCTACGATCGCATCTCCCAGTGGCTACAGCGCTTGGAGCAGCGTGTAGAAAAGGATGCAGATGTCACTGCCATGACCAATCCCGAACAGGCAGCCAAGCAGCTGGAGCAGCAAATAAACTCCGAGCTGCAGCTGAGGGACAAGGAAAGGGAGTGGCTACTGTCCACCAGCAGGGAACTGCTCACCCTGTACTCCGAGCCAGAAGTTCGATCCCAGGTGCAACAGCAGAGCGATTCCCTCATCGATCGCTGGCAGCGTCTCAAGTACCTGTGCAAGCAAAAGGCCACCAAGATTGGTGAGCTCAAGATGACCCTTCTCCGCTTGGAGGAGCGAATCGCCCTGATCCGTGCCTGGCTCTTCGAAGTGGAATCTCAACTGGACAAGCCGCTGAACTTCGAGAGCTACACCCCGAATGTAATCGAGGCCAAGCTGAAGGAGCACGAGCAGATCCAACGGTCAATCGAGCACCACAGCAGCAATGTGGGTGAGGTTCTGAATCTCGTAGAGATGCTTCTCAACGATGCCGACAGCTGGCGAACGCAGGTAAACACCTCCGGACTGGCTGCCTCGGCTCAGAATCTGGAGCAGCGCTGGAAGAATGTGTGCAGTCAGTCGGCGGAGCGAAAGGCCCGCATCCTGACCATTTGGAATCTACTCCAGCAGCTCATCAAGCTGACTGCCGAGCATAAGAATTGGCTAGGCAAACAGGAAAGTCAAATAGCCGGCTATGAAAGGGATCAAAAGTCCCACAGCAAGCATAAGCTAGAGGAGCGGCAGAAGGAACTCCGTGCCAAGCTGGAGGAGCTAGAAAGCCAGTCGGTGAACCTGCGCCAGCTGGAGCAGATCTATGCCAAATTGACTATGAGTGCTGGCGTCGAGCCGGAGAACATACAGAAGCTAACGCTGCCCACCAAGGTGATGATAAGCATGTGGCGCCAGTTGACGCCACGCTGTCATGCCCTGCTGGATGCCATCGACAAGGATGCGAAGCTCATGAGGGAGTTCAACAATGCCCAACTGGAGGCCACCAACTCCCTGAATGCCATACAAAAGGCCCTGGAACAACTACCCAGTGTGGAGGATCAGCAGACCTCCAAGGCGGAGCCAAAGGCGGTGCTCCAGCGGTTGGATAGTCTGGAGAAGAAGTTGCAGGATGCCCAGCAACATGTCCAGCAGGCGGATAACCTGGCCCAGGAGGCCAAGACCAGGACCAAGCAGCAGCCACAACTGAAACAACTGCTGGAACTGGTGTCCGCCTATACCACCCTTTGGCAAACGGTGCAAACCCGCATTGTGACCCTCAAGACCAGTTGGGTGACCCGGGCAGCTCAGGCAGCCGCCGCCGCTGTCCCAGTTAACGAAGCCGCCAACGCCGCCGTTCAGGTCAACACCCTGTCCCAGAGGAAACTCCGCCAGGCCCAGCAGATGCAAAGGGAAACCTCCATCACCGCCAAGGATGCCTATATCATGGAACTGCAGACCGCCATCACAGAGTGTCAAAACAATCTGGATGAGCTGCAGCGCACGGTGGTGGACAAGACCCGCAAGCCGGGACCCCAGAAAATCGCCAAGCTTCTGGGCAATGCCCAATCCTCTACCGAGCTGGTTAAGCATCTCAGCCAGCTGCTGCTCACCGAGTGCCAGGCGGACAACCAGGCTGCCCAGGTGGAAGCCGTGGCAGAGCTCACGTTGCGCTTCGATACACTGCAGTCGCAGTGGAAGGCGCGACAGCAGCACGATCAAAATGCAAGGTAGGATGAGCTATATATTAATAATATCTTCGTTGGGATATATTGTATTAAGGTCTTGCTAAACCAAGGACACCATATCAACATTTTATGAGCTCATTTATAGGTTTTTTCAATTATTTAAAATCTCAACCGGTTTTTCAATTGTTTAAATATTTTAGCAGTCCGTTATATGATTGATTTGAATTAAATAACAATCAAACCTATTAAATTCATTCATGGTCATGGAGTCAAAGTGGCATATTTAAGAATTTTCCTTCCAACTTGTGTCTCAAATGCTCCTATATCAATTACTAAAATACGAACGGCATCCTGTATAATGGATCATATTATAATAGATGACTTGTGTTCGAATACACTTAATTAAAAACTATTTTTCAAATGAATGTTACTCCTTTTGGTTTGGCAAGCTCTATATTATATATTCGGTTCACCGAATATAATTTTTCCGTTGGTGTTTGGGTCTGTTAACTAACTAACAAATTGTTTTATTGCTTTCCATCTTGCTGTTGCCTACTTCTCTCTATGTCAAAACACGCTCACGCATAATCACACCCAAAACAAAAACTTACCCATGCTTAACTCGAACCTGCGCATTCATGATGATATACACCAGGTGCCACCTACCTGCATCCTACAAGTACAACTGCATACAGTAAGTGTATCTACCTGTTGGTGGGCTGTACTCCCAACCTCCTGCTGTCTAAACCGATCCTGTGTTCTGTGTGGGGTTTTCCACTAGACAAAAGCTGGCAGCGGGTTGCAAATGGCTGCCAGTCTCCAGGGTGGAGGACAGCAAGAGGTTGGGATATATATGCCTATATGCCTAGAATGCCTTAAATCGGATCAATGGATTTTGGCAGGGCAAGCTTAAGCTAACAAATAAATGATTATCATAACCATATCTTGTATATTTTCCATTTATCATAATAGATTACTAATTTGTTATACCATTCTCTACCCATTTTAGCGAGGTCGGCCGGCTAACGTGTCCGCTCTGCACACAGCGAAACTGGCAGCAGATCGACAACGATCTGTGGCGCTTGGAGCAGTGGCTCCAGTTCGCCGAGAGCACCCAGAAGGCCCAGTCAGCTCCGCCCTCGAATATCGAGCTGCTGGAGGATGTCACCCAGGATCACCGAGAGTTCCTCCTGGATTTGGAGAGTCACAAGTCCATCATATCGTCCCTGAATGTGGTCGGTGACCATTTGGCCACGCACACTCTGGACACCGAAAAGGCCAGACAACTGCGATCTCGTCTGGAGGCGGATAATGAGCGCTGGAACAATGTGTGCATCAATGCCACCAAATGGCAGGGTCTCCTCCAGACCGCCCTGATGGGCAACAGTGAGTTCCATCAGACCATCGATGAGCTGGTGAATTGGCTGCAGAGCACGGAGCAGAACATCAAGGCGTCCGAGCCCGTCGATCTTACCGAGGAGCGCTCCGTGCTGGAGGCCAAGTTCAAGAAGTTCAAGGATCTGCGAGCCGAACTGGAAAGATGCGAACCCCGAGTGGTGAGCCTGCAGGATGCCGCCGATCAGCTTCTGCGCTCCGTTGAGGGCTCCGAGGAGCAGTCCCAACACACCTACGAGAGGTAAGGTGTCCAGTGGGCCAGTTCCGAGGGCGGAACGAAACGATTCGTGGGTGCCGCTTCAGCGTAGAGCAGAAATAAGGGATTCTACAAGGGGGAAAGGGTATTTAAGTTAGTTGGGCGGAAAATCAATTCATTATTGTACGTAGTTTTAGTTTCTAAATTGATTTGATTTGATTAGTTTTGGAAATCTTTGTAGTGTATGGTAATAATTTATTTGGAATCCGTAATTTTGTAGACACCCATTAGTATTAGTTTTCTAATATTCACCTATGTGCTATTCTCCCATTTAAATTATAAATTATTTTGGCCTTTATTGCTTGCCTTTTTAACATTTAAAATATCCCCCCACATTTTGCACATTCCCCAAAATACTTTCGCAAACTTTTCTCCCAAAAATGAAATTCCTCTTTCCTTCAAAATTATACTAAACCTATCCGTAAGGATAGATAAGCCCTTTGGAACTTCCCCGAAACTCAACTTTCTAGACCCCCACTCTTGGGTTTTATCTCGTAGATCGTATTTCAGCTTTACCTTCTCAACTATACAAAATCAATCATATGTTTTTGCCTCTACACATATTTTGTGTTGCCGTTTTTGTTGCGTATATTATTTTGTGTTGTATTTTTGGTACTCAAAATTCTTTCGTCCGCCCATTCTAACCCTTCATCCAAACTTAACCGCCAAGAGCCTATGCAAATGTTTTAAATGTTCCAGAACCCTTTCCAGATTGACCGATCTCCGACTGCGTCTCCAATCCCTGCGTCGTCTATCCGGAATCTATATCGTAAAACTGGGTGCCGTCCTGGGTTACGAAGGCGATAATCTTGGCGTGCCATTGCACATGTTGTCGAGTGAGGTAAGTCCAAGTCTTTCTTAATTATTCAATATCCTGGTTTCCTGTTTAAAAAGAAATGGATTTGTCCTAAAAAATATTTGATTTTATTTGTTGATTTGTGAGCGCACCAGAAGTAAGTGAAACCAATTGGCAGTCGAACGAGAAAATATTTAAAAATCTTGACCCCCCTTATTATTTCTATTATTTATAATTTATTTATTTTTCTTTCTTTTTCTTTGTGGCAAAACAATATAGCTTTTGGATAATACTACATTATCAACCTCTTCTATGCAGGCCGCCGCACCAAACACAGAAAATGCAAAGTAAATATCTATAGAAATTGATTTTAAGTTTTTGTTACACACATGCATCGTAGTTTGATATATACTTTTGTTTAAAGCAACTTGTGCACTATATAGTTGTGGTAAATGAAAAGCACTTGTAGTTTTTCCCTCAGTAAATGCATGATATTGTAGTTATATCATTGTTATATCCTACATGAACTAATAGATCTATTTTTCGAACCCCTAGCAACACCGATGGCGATGCTGTCGATGGCGATGTCATCAATACCACGGTTCTGGCGCGCGGTGCTCGGTTCCTAGGCCGCGTTGCACGTGCCTCCCTGCCCATTCAGGCGCTCATGCTGCTGCTTTTAGGTGTGGCCACTCTGGTGCCCCACGGTGAGGACTACACCTGCATGTTCTCCAACACCTTCGCCCGCAGCCTGGAGCCCATGTTGTCGTACCCCCACGGACCACCGCCCACGTAAAGCTGTCGAGTTGCAATTGGATTAGTGCAATGAAACCATGAACAAGAACAAAAAACCAAAACCCCCTGAACCCTAACCATAGAACTGTTTAAATCAGTCCCCAAAACATATAAGAAGATGCCTTTTGTAAGCTAAATTCCTGTAAGAAAATTCAAGAAAAAATATTTGCATTGAGTATTGAAATGGAAGAGTTGTAAATTTGTGCAGTTTATCACATTTTGTAATTGTATGTAATTTTGTAGAGATTCAATAGCTAGAGGCATTAATAAAACAACCAATTTGTATATAACCTACTGAACAGACTCGACAAGCCGAACACATGAAACACATGAAAGAAAGAGAATAAACTAACTATTCAAGCTAACGACAAGTAACGAAACAAAACTTTTGTAAAACGATATATACATTATACATATATATTTGCACAGCAAACAATTTATATATTCATATATAATCCCAAGATATATGATCCCAAGAAATCTACAGAGAACCCAAACATTTTGTATATAAAAATAACTAAGCTAAAACGAAAATCAAAATACGCACACGAAAATTTTACTCATCACCGCACGTTTTCCCATAAGAGAGATCTATGGCAGCACGGAATTGTGATTGGGTGTCCTGCAGACTTCGTGGAACATTTCTGCAGGAACCAAGCCCAAGTCCTTGCTGCCATCGATGGGCTAGAGAAGTCGACGAATCCCAAGACAAATCATGACCCACATAGACCAATCGCCTGGAGAACTACTTGGTTACCAAGGCACCTAGTTCGCTGCTCGTCTTTCTCCCAAATTCAAGGCGTTGCAGTGCACAAGATGCATTGGCTACCTTTTAGACTCTGGCCCCTAAAGTCCCCTTGCCAAAGGATAACTCTACCCAAGGCCAAGCTCTCTCCCACGGCCAAGGGTTAGGAAGAAGAACCTGCAGTGCGCCAGCCACAGGACACTGTGTTCACCTCTGATCCTTAAACTCCAACCCGGCAACAGGGGACTAGACATTTCAAAGCATTCCTGATACTCATTTCCAAATTACCCATAGACATTGACCATCCTAGCCTGCTCTCACCCAAAAAAAATGGAAAACGTGCGTGCCACGAGCATTGAACAAAACGAAGCAAGTGTCCTATGCCGGTGCTAAACCAACCAACAAATTTTCTATGTAAAGAAAAAATGTAAAATGCGTATACAAAAAATGAAATTAAATTCATAAAACAAAAGATTAACTCTTTGAAAAAAAATCGTAAAAATGCAATTTGCAAATAGACAAGCGACGTAAGTCCATCCAGTAATAAATTACCTATTTTGTTGTTAATATTTTTTGATAAACCTAATTCTATTTGCCTTATACTTACCCAACTTGTTTATTACAACTATTTTTTATTATTTAAAGCTTGAGCAATTATTGAGAAAATACATACATTTATTTATTAGACCTATACGATTTATTACGTATTAAATTAAGTATGATTTAAATGTTAAATTTGTGTACTTTGCTGCTTCTATCTGGTTATAAAATAATGAGCCGTTATCAAGTTAATATAATTTATGTAGCATTTTAAGATTTCCTTTCTTGTGAACAACTGTACCTTTATATGCATTATGATTATTAAACAAAAAAATAAAAATAAAAGTACGGCGTTTTTATGGGGAATAAAGTTTTAAAGGAGATAAAGTGCAACTGGAATAAGTCCCCACATCCAGATGAGAACTATTACAAATAAAGTTGATAAATCGTATCATGAGAATCCGATGACATTCAAGGCGGAGAGCTTCCTTGGATCAATGGGGGTATGAAAAAGTGTCGAAACCGGGGTGTCTTATAGCCTTTGATGGATAGTTGTTGCTAGGCAGCTCTGTTGGAAATCTTACGAAACTTTGAGATAAGGGTTATTCGGATAATATATAGATGATAACCCCCTGACACGCCGTACATCCTGTTTTACAGCATGACGAGCATTTGTGGGAGGGCTGCAATTGCCACATACTCGCTAAAACAAGTGGAGGTTCCAAAATTTTATAAGGTTGAAAAAAATATAATGTTTCGAGCGCAAATATGATCGCAAATAAAAGCTTTCAATTATTTAAAAAAAATACCGGCTTTTTGGTATTTTTGGTCAGCAACAAAAAAAAGTACACTTACAAAAAAATGTTGCGCAACAATGCTGCGGAACAAAAATATGTTGTGCAACATAGTTGCTGTACACGTTTGGCGTGACGTCATTACGTTAATGCAGCACGTAACGTAATCGCGTCGAACATTTGTTTTTCTTCCTTAACAAACAAAGTTATTTCTTTAAAGATTATTTTTATATTTTAATATCAGACAACGAAAATTGGGAAAATATATTTAATGGAAATTAAAATAACAATACAAAACACTATTTAAAAATGTTTATGTATCATCATTTCTAAAAATGCTGTTTATACATTAATAAAGCTTAGTTATAAATACTAAAAATAGGAGAATGTTGGTATAAGTATGTCATATAAATCTTTAGTATTTTGAATTTTCAAATATAAAAATCTCTTTAATTTAAGCCAAAATTACAAGGTTTAATTTATAATTCACATTGTTCACATTTTTTATTAAATTGTGTTTTTACCAACCCAAACAGTTAAAACAGTTCATACAGTGCAGGGTACCTATCAATTGATTTCAATTCACTTTCAATTAACGCTGATAGTCGGTTCAGTTCAGTTAGTTTCCGTCTGCCCTATAGATCGGATGTGCCATGTGCCCCATCTGCTGTACGTTGCTGTTTATAGCAGGGTTTTTGGCCCTGGTATACGTATTCCTCACCTGGAATTTCGACTATTGGAGGAAGCGAGGCATCCAGACAGCCAGCTCATGGCCATTCGTGGGCAGTTTTCCCAGCATTTTCACCAAGAAGCGGAACGTTGCCTACGACATCGATGAAATATATCAGTATGTGCGGTGAGATTAAGTGTTTTCGATTATACATTTAACTCGTTTAACTCGTAGGCAGTACAAAGATACGGACAACATAGTGGGTGTGTTTACCACACGAAGTCCCCAGCTGCTGGTTATGTGTCCGGAATTTATAAACAAAATTTACGCCGGCGATTTCCGTTGCTTCCATGACAATGAAAGGGCGAATTCTGTAAGTGGAGACAGATTCGTGTAGAGAACATAAATCTATTGAAGTTTCACAACAGGTGGACAAAACTGTGGATAAGATTCTGGGCAACAATCCATTTGTCCTAAAGGGTGATGAATGGAAGGAGAGGAGGGCGGAGATCACACCAGGATTATCGCCCAATCGAGTAAGGTTAAGACTAGGTTAAGTCTAGTTTAAGTGGATTCAAATCTGATCAAATACCCCACTTTCTAGGTCAAGGCCGTCTATCCAGTGTCACAGAGTGTGTGCAAAAAGTTTGTGGATTATATAAGGCGACAGCAAAGAATGGCCTCCTCTCAGGGATTGGATGCCATGGAACTGTCCCTTTGCTTCACAACCGAAGTGGTTTCCGATAGTGTCCTGGGAATCTCCGCGCAGAGTTTCACGGACAATCCAACTCCTTTAGTGGGAATGATCCAGCGAGTGTTCAACTCATCCTTCGGCTTCATCCTCTACAGCGTTTTGGTCAACTTATGGCCACCAATTCGGAGGTTCTACAGCGTTCCGTTTTTCACCAAGGAAGCAGAGGACTTCTTCTTCGACATCATGAGGCGGTGTATTAAGTTGAGGCAGGAAAAACCGGAACAGCAGCGAGATGATTTCCTCAACTACATGCTGCACTTGCAGGAGAAGAAGGGTCTGGATGCGGCAGAACTCACTGCCCATACGATGACCTTTCTCACTGATGGATTTGAGACCACTGCTCTGGTTCTATCGCATACCCTATTAATGCTGGGTCGTAATCCCGAGGAGCAGCAAAAGGTACGGGATGAGATTGGCAGTGGGGATCTGACCTTCGAGCAGTTGACCGAACTGCCCTATCTAGAAGCCTGCATCCATGGTAAGATATTCCTGATTAAATGGTATCTAATAGATTATCACATATTATATTTTTCAGAAACTTTGCGTTTGTTTTCACCACAAGTAGCTTCACGAAAACTGGTAACTGAACCCTATGACTTTGTGAACAAGAATGGAGTTACTCTGCGAGTGAATCCCGGAGATGTGATCATTATTCCGGTGAAAGCACTGCACCACGATCAACAGTATTATGAGAATCCACAAGCATTTAAGCCAGAGCGATTCCTTGAGACAAACGGTGGTGTAAAAAAGTACCGGGATCAAGGGGTATATCTTCCATTTGGCAATGGACCGCGTATATGTCCAGGTTGGTAACATTATACTATAAAAAGAGGAGCTGATTAAAGTATAAAACCTATCTATCCTCTTTAGGCATTCGATTTGCACTGACCCAACTAAAGGCAGCTCTGGTGGAAATCGTACGAAACTTCGATATCCATGTTAATCCCAAGACTCGTTCGGATGATCAGATAGATGATACTTTCTTCATGGCCACTTTGAAAGGCGGCATTTGGTTAGACTTTAAAGAGCGATAATAAAAAACTTCCTTATTTGTCCTAACTAACATTGCTGATAATTTTATACGTCAAGAAAAAAATTAACAAAATTTCCATTAAGCACCTTTATCGATACTACTTCAAGTTTCGTTATTTGGGTGCATTTTTAGTCCAAAATATAATCATTTTTCAGGGTGAACCTGCTTCAACAGTTCAAATGATTGAAAAAGCTTGACTAATTTCCCACGAGTGGGTGATAAAGATACGAAGTCCATCAAATTTCACAACATTTCATGAAATTACGTTATCTGCCAGTAGCTTTCTAACATTTTGGTATCACCGCAACTTAAAAATCTGATAAGTTGTTATATTGTATAAGCTTATACTCGCCAAGCATTTTCAAAAATAAATGTTTGTATGACGATTTATGTTTTAAAACATTTTGTTATCAGCGAAACCATATTGTTTAAAAACATATTTATCGCCATTAGTTTGTGAACTATAAATATACATTTGTTGGCCCTTGATCTTGATAACTAAATCAGGTCTTATCGCAGAGTCAAAACCAGTGCTATTTATAAAAATCATAAATATAAATGTGGTGGTCTGGGCAATTTGATCAATTTGTTTACTGGGTGAATCCATCTGGTTCCCATTGGCCATCCACTTGACTGATATCAAGTTCAATTGAAACCATTGAGGTTGCCCAATTGAGTCTCAGTTTGATTCCATCCGCGATCGCGAGCGGTTGTGCCATGTGTCCCATTTCGACGGCTCTGTTCGTAATAGCGGCCTTTCTGGCCTTGATCTATATCTTTCTGACATGGAACTTTAACTACTGGAAGAAGCGTGGCATCCCATCTGCGAAATCATGGCCCTTCGTGGGCAGCTTTCCCAGCATTTTCACCCAGAAGCGCAACGTGGTCTACGACATCGATGAGATCTATGAGTGAGTAAATATTAGATAGTAAACCTAATTAACTTTTTACTGATTGCATTTCTTTCAGGCAGTACAAAAACACTGATAGCATCGTGGGGGTGTTCCAGACTAGAATGCCACAACTCTTGATCACAAGTCCGGAATATGCGCACCAGATATTGGTTAATGACTTCCGAAGTTTCCATGATAATGAGATGTCTAAGTTTGTAAGTGATAATGAGATATGTAATACCTTAAGATCATAATTTATATAATTTTCCCAACAGACCAGCAAAAAGGCGGACAAAATCCTGGCCAACAATCCATTCATTTTGACTGGTGAGTCCTGGAAGGAAAGACGTGCGGAGGTTACACCCGGCCTTTCGGCCAATCGGGTAAGGTCAGGTTTTTTCTTATAAGTATAGCCACTTATTGCTCCGTCTAACCCCAAGGTCAAAGCTTCCTACCCGGTCTCGCAACGCGTTTGCAAAAAGTTTGCTGAATATCTGAAAAAGCAACAAAAGATGGCCCCCTCGGATGGTCTGAATGCCAAGGAAGTGTGTTTGCACTATACCACCGAAGTGGTTTCCGATTGTGTCCTGGGCATTTCCGCCCAGAGTTTCACGGATAATCCCACACCCCTGGTGGGAATGATCAAGCGGGTCTTTGAGCAGTCCTTTGGATTCATATTCTACACAGTGGTGGCCAATCTCTGGCCACCAATTCGGAACTTCTACAGCGTAAGCCTTTTCGCCAAGGAGGTGGAGGAGTTCTTCTATGACATCATGAGGAAGTGCATCCAAATGAGGCGGGAGAATCCAGGACAACAGCGAGACGATTTCCTCAACTACATGCTGCAGTTGCAGGAGAAGAAGGGCTTGGACGCTGTGGAGTTAACCTCACATACCATGACTTTCCTTACGGACGGATTTGAGACCACAGCTCAGGTTTTAACCCATGCACTTCTCCTACTGGGTCGCAATCCTGAGGAGCAGAGGAAGTTGAGGGAGGAAGTCGGCACTGCCGAGCTGTCCTTTGAACAGTTGAGCGAACTGCCCTTCATCGAGGCGTGCATTCATGGTGAGTTAGGACTTCAGGAATAATAACCTATAAACTTACTAAGAAGGATATCTTACACCCCAGAAACTCTACGACTTTTCTCTCCTCTAATGGCTGCCCGCAAGGTGGTAACTGAGCCCTACGAGTTTGTAAACAAAAATGGAGTGAGCGTTAAGGTTTATCCCGGCGATGTGGTCATCATTCCAGTTAATGCCCTGCACTACGATCCCCAGTACTACGAAGATCCCCAGTCCTTTAAGCCCCAGCGATTCCTGGAGGTCAATGGTGGAGCCAAGAAGTACAGGGATCAGGGTGTCTACTTAGGTTTTGGCGATGGACCGCGTATTTGTCCTGGTAAGCTAGGATAAGTTAGTCAACAAGAAACTGGTATGAATCAAAAAACCATCTCTTATTTCAGGCATGCGTTTTGCACTCACTCAACTTAAAGCCGCCCTGGTGGAAATCGTGCGGAACTTTGACATTAAGGTTAACCCCAAAACCCGCCAGGATAATCAGTTCGATGATACCTACTTCATGGCTGCTTTGAAAGGGGGCGTTTGGCTGGACTTTGTGGATCGCAATTAGACCATACCATACCTCATATCTGCTTTTATATTATACAGATGCCACAAATTATTATTAAATATAGTTTGTACAGCTGCAATAATTTTATATTTTTCAACACTTTTAATACTTTAATTTTGTAACCAGATAAAGACCACACCTTCAGTCCCGACTAAGTGCCAGTTGGACTAGGGGCAGTACCTTGATGGAGGACAGATCTGCCAGAATGGCTTCAATGCTGTCCAAGGAGGCCACCTGCATGATGCTCTCCTTTCTGAAACTCAAGATGATGATGGCGAATAGGGGGAGGATCTCCAAGCTATCAAAGCCAAGGATCTGGAAAAGGAAGATAGGGGTTATAGATAGGGAGCGTAGATTGCAGAGGTTTACTTACCAGATCCCAAAGAACCAAAAGTTGGTCAGGAGGTAAGTGTCCGGAGAACGCGCGCATAAGCCATTTAAATACGACTCTTAGCCTGTATGGATATATTGGGTATATGAGATAAAGTATCTAGAGGATCCCGCAAACCCAACTCACGGCTGTATCTGAAGTTCCCTAAAATGAGACCACAACTGTGGTTCGTAGGTCTGCAAAAGCTTCTCAAACAGCAGACACAGACTGACAATCCCCTGCGGATGGGTGTTGATCGTGGTCAGGCGATGGCAGTAGCGGATGTAGAAGGCCCGGAAGGTATAGTACAGATTCACCGGCGAGTCGTACAGATAGCAGAAGGGGGCGGCGAACATGCAGATGCCGTGGAAGGGCACCACGCCCGAGGGCGGACCCTCGTACGTCTTGCCCTTCACCGGAAACGCCTCGTACTCCACGCAGCCGCCGATATCCGTGTCCCTCGAGAAGCAGAGCAGCACCTGGTAGAGCACGTCCTCGAACACAAAGTACTGGTCGTCGTTGGAGGCCGTCAGCTGGATATCCTTGAAGACCAGCTTGTCCACAATGTGATCGGTGGTCCAGACAGCATTGCGCAGCTTCTGCCAGTAGTCAATGTCCTATGGGAGAATGTATAACAATATGTTATCTGTGTATCTGAAGTTTTTGATTCCATTACATAATCGTGCAGCTTGCTATCTAGTACGGAGGCCCAAAGTGCTCCTCTATAGGGAGCTGGGGTGCAACCCTTCTTCAGAAACTGCTGACACATGGGTGCGTGCTTTCCTTCCAGAATCCTTTGACACTGAACCGTGAGATCGGGCACTCCCAAATAGCTATCACTTCGCAGTAGATCCGCATAATGAGCACGCAGTTCAAACAAATTCTTCACGGGTAAAGCTATATGAGAAAACTCCCACTGGGGGATTTGGCTGTTAAGAAAAATAATATATATTTTAATTTATCATAGCTAAAGGTCTAAACCAAAGCTCACTCTGTATTTTCGGTGGTTTTGGCGGGTCCTTTTAGAGAGAGCAGGACCTCCAGAAGATCCTTTGGTGCATAAACTGGTCTGTAGTTGGCCAGATCTGGGAATTTCGAGGTAATAAGATTTTGGATTCCAAATAACCGAAGTAACCCACCCATGTTATAGTTGCTCAGTTCATTCCACTTGGCCATGAAGTCCTCTCGATCGGCACTGATCCTCGGTTGTCCATGCAGTGGGACCTTTAGCTCCGTGCACATGGCATTCAAACTCTTTCTAACCCTTCGATCCCAAAGAACACCGGCCCTTTTTAAATAGCCCAATGGATCACTAACGGTGGGTTTCTGTGAGAAAAATAGAAAGAGTATAATGGGAAAAAAAAGGATAGATTAAAATTCATTACTAGAGTCCATAAAGTTAACGAGCTTGTAGAATGCTCGATAGTTTTGCCACTTTGGGAAGTCTTGGATTGAACAAACATTTTATAACTCTTATTTTATTGTAAGCATAAGACATTGAAAAATATAACATGAACTAGTTTTTGGTAAAACAAAGATCGAGGGAATGATGGGAATTGAAAAGAACACCTTACAAAGGTGATGTGCTGGTTGAAAGGAGGTTAAATTATTTTTAAAGGACTTTTATAATATTAATTTGTTTTCTCGTCCACATGTTAAAATAAAAATGGGTAAGACCATAAAAATGTATGAATATTTCGAGATTAAAATGAACTTCTAAATTGTGGAAAAGAAAAAGGTCTTTAGTTTAGTAAGGAAGCCTTTTTCGAAAACCATTCCTATCTAATTTATTGAATCTATGAATTTGTACCCACCGCTGCCTGTTTGTTGGCGAGGGCTTTGTCGTCGGGCTTGGCCAACCGACTCCGGACCAAATTGTAGACAATGTTCCGGATCTCCGTCTCCAAGCCGGCGCTCTTGATGGCATCCTCCAGGGTGTTGCGCATGTCGTGGGTGTCCACGCTGGGATTGCAGACCAACTTCTGCAGCTCCTTGTAGATGGGCTCGTAGCTCTTGGTGTTCTTGATGGCCGCGATGACCTTGGCGGTCATGTGATGGATGCTGGCATCCTGCAGCTCCTCCATGGCGATCCTCCGTCGACCGTTCTGTGTAGCTCTGCACTGCTAACTAACTACCAACTTACTATTCACAGCGTTCTGATTAGCCCCAAGTTGGGCGCTTCCAGCACAGTCGTTTGACTTTTTATCGATCAAACTCCGTCGCCTGTTTTGATTTGGAGTCTGTCGTCGCTTCTTGGCGACGGAATGCAAACACTTGTTTGCCTGCTAGTTTCACGTTAGTTTCGTTTAGTTTAGCTTAGTTTTGTTTCATTCGCCGCCCCTCGCAACCGACGAAATTCCATTATGTTTCGTTTCAAATGAAAAGCCAAAGGCGCGTGAAATTGCTTTCCATACACTTTTATTTTCATGCACACCCAGCACACCCAGCACACACACAACATTTTCTTTTTCTTGGCATCTGTCACCTGGGCAAACGAGTTGTTGACATGGCTGCCAGTGGTGCTCCTCCTGTTGATTGCAAAGGTGGGCCAAACTCACCCCAGCATGAGTGTGTGTGCCAAAGGTATTTCACTTGAAAATTAAGATTGGGCACAAAAATAAGTTTTTGGAATGGTTCACTGGCAGAAATAGAAAGAAACAGGGTCAAAACCTGATGTGCCAACCATTGTTGAGCTCATAAATAATATTTTTGTAGTATTCAGAATTATATTTTTCAATTTACTTATTTATATATAATATATATGTATATATTACTATTTGATAGATATCAATCTTAGTTAAACTCTCTTTAAATATTTTTTCTATTATTTCCAATCATATTTTCCTATTTATTGCTATGATACTGATCCCTTTTACCTCAGACACTTCCTTTAGAATATTCCTCATAAACAACTTAAGCTTCCTTATTTGTTTCAAGGAGTTTATCTATCATATCATCGTTTATGAAAGTGCGACCTTTCAGTTGGCGATTGAGATTTTTTATGTTATATCCCATGGCATATGGCGGCATATTATTGGTGTCCAGAAAATACCTGCCCCTGGCCCTGAAATCAATGAAATGTTATTATGGTAGTCTTTCAAAAACTTGGTTATTGTACTAACTCCGAATTGGCCCCGAAGCCCATCACCTCGAAATCCTTCGAGGGAACGCAGGCTCCTGTGGCGAAGCTCTTGAAGTTGGGACAGTAGAAGCCATAGAATCCGGAAGGATTTAAAATAGATTCGGCGTAATAGTCCGCGGCTCGGTTGTGATAGCAGAAATGGGTCTCCACTGAAGGAGCATGATATAATATGATATAGCATAGTATTATGTACGACTTACTCAGATTGATGGGTCCACAGTTGGGCTGCGAAACGCCCATGTTTAAGTAAAAGTCCACGTGGCCCACTGCCTCCAGAAGACCGAGCATCATAACATCCGTGTGCACCACGTCCACGAATTTGGCATCCGTGGGATCGAGTTTTTGGGCCTTATCCTTGACCAGGTAAAGAGGTTTGGCAGGATCGAGGGCCGTGATGTGTTCCAGCTTGTGTTGCGGAATAAAGTTACCAACAAATCCTGCCACATGGGCTCCCAAGCCGAAACCTATCAGATGCAGATCCTTAATCGCTACCAATTTGTTTACCAGCAGTATTTGCAGAAATTGTGCAATACAGCGACCTACAAATTTGACATTGTTTACTGCCTCCGAGTAGCAGGGTTCATAGGCAAGTTTATGATAGTCCAAAGATATCACATTAATGTCTAGCTTAATAAATCGAGGACGTAGCTGGATGTTGGGAGTATAATTGCGGTGCCCGTTAAAGCCATGGATTATAACCTTGAGTGGTTTTAGGGGTAGAAACTCATCTTTGGGAAGGTTAAATTGTGAGAGTTCCATTCCCTCCGGCTTGGCTTTTCTGTGGGTTTAAGTGCATAAAATATATAAACTTAAAGGACACCCCTCTCTTCCCTCTTACGTGTAAAGCCAAAAGGTAATGTTGGCATTCGGACAAAATTCGTCACTCAGGGCAAAACAATTCGGTTCCTCATCTTCAAAGCTAGCCACCAGCATAAAACTTGAAAAACCTGAGAAGAGCATTACTGTCATAATTTTGAAGTACAAGGACTGGAATTACTGTACCTATCAAAAAGACCAAATGCCACAGTTTATTCATCATCCCCCAACTTCAATAAAACCTCTACTAATTTTAGTTTTTACTTTAAACGCTCTAGGGGTCGCAAACTATTTTAATCAATTTTGTTTCGTTCAGCCGGAAAAGAGACCGGAAAGCTTTTATAATTGCAAAAGAGGTGCATCTCAGCGCCCAATGTGGGGCGTTTGAATACGTTAGGTATTTTGTAAAGAAATTGAAAGTATTAACACGAACTTACATTTTCATACATTATTACATTTGGAACACAACGTTGCAAAACTCTAAAAATAAGGGAATTTTTTGGTAAAATAAGAGTCCTTGTTTTCAGCCCTAAAAACGCAGTGTTTTTCTTGCCATAATTCAAAAAACGCTCAGAATGAGGAGTGTCATACCTCGTTGAGCTCGTATTTTAATTCCCAATCGATTGGCATTCAAACCTGGAAAGTTTTAATTTTTGCCATTTTTTGCAAAAATAAAAAATGCGAAAATTGGTCAAAAAATAAATTTCCCGAAAAGTGGTGGGCATTGTAAGCTGAAGATGTAAGCTGCTCAAAACTGTCGGTATCTTAGCTGTAAGTCTCGATTTCGCTAAACTACGATTGAAAAACTGCTAAAAAAGGAGCATTTTTGGGTATCATTTGATTTACGGCCTTCAAAAACTGAGTTTTTTTCTTTCCATAATGCAAAAAACGCTCAGAATGAGAAGTGTCATACCTCGTTGAGCTCGTATTTTAATTCCCTATCGATTGACATTCAAACCTGAAAATGTTTAATTTTTGCCATTTTTCGCAAAAATATGTGATGTAACCCCTTATAAAAAATGCGAAAATAGGTCAAAGAATGAATTTCCCGAAAAGTGGTGGGCATTGTTAGCTGAAGATGTAAGCTGCTCAAAACTCAGAACTCATAAAAAAAACAACTTAAATTTGATCTGAACAAAACTTAATAAACTGAAAAATCCGTTTTAAATATCATAGCTAAAGTCTCGGCCCAGTGGCATTGACTTCGCTCCTGGCCAATGCAATTTGCAGTGGTAATTACGTCGTAAATCTAGCCTTAAATTTCATGCCACCAGACTGTCAGCATCAGAATTAGAACTTATGCCACGAGTGTGGTCAACACTCGTGCTATTTATACAAGGGAAGCGCACACATTTTGGGCAATGAGATTTATGCAAAAACAATCGGGCTAGTCGCCTCTCTCTAGAGCAATCCAAAAACCCCTCCCCAATATAACTATGTGCCTTTATGCATGGGACATTCCAAAAGTGTTTCACGTTTTGTCATAAATAATAAAACTCAAATGACCATCAAAGCCGCTACTGCCAGCCTTTGCCAAAAAATGCCGCCGGAAGGTTACCCACTCACACAGAACTATCCGAGTCCGAATCCGAAAACCGAACCCATGCCCAAGAACCCATCACCACCCCCGCCTCCAAGTGGCCTGTCCATCTTGCTTGATGTCCATTTGCCAGCCTCTGAATGCCTGTTTGTTTGTTTTAAAGCAAAAATATAAAACCAAATCAACATATTTGGGTGGATAGTGCAGGAGGATGAGGAGCAAGATGGGCTGGTTAACCGCAGCTACTGGGTAGCCAAAGTCAGCAGGCCGCAAAGAGCCTGTGGAATCGGCTGTGGACCAGCAGCCAGCAGCCAGCCCACCACACTCATATGATCATATGGACAAAAATTGCTATAAAGTACTAAAAATACAATTACCGTGAGAATATCGCGCTGATTTTGTGACTGATTGTGAAGACGTTTATAGTCGATTTTTAGTGACTGACTGAGTGACCGACGGACCAGGCCACAAATACATTTCAAAAAGATATGGATGCGAGGGTGTACCTATAACTGTACAGTGTATCTGTATCTGTATCTGTACGGTGTATCTGTATCTGCTGCTCTTTGCATAATTGTGGCGTGCGCTGTGCGCTCGTTTTTCCGGCTGCCAGAGCCAAAAGATGATGGAGATGACGTCGCCGTTCTGCCGCCGACCTTAAGGCATCAGTATCCCATCCCCCAACCAATAACCCATCAACCAACAGGCAGTGCACCTGTAACACTTTGATCTGATTTAGATCAGCGTCTGGCCAGAATCAGTCTCCGCATCCGCCTCCGTCTCCACCTCCACCAGCTCGCATTCCAATGGCTGTTAATAAAGTGCTTTGCCGAAAAGCCAAACCAACAATAACCCATGGATGGGATGCTCTGCTCCTCTGCTCCTCTGCCGACGTGGTGTACAACGCTGCGTATGAGTGACGCTTCCACTAAGCGAAATTTGTTGTTTATAAATAATGATCTTGGCCAGGCGATCGGTTTAGTGCGCGCCCGCAGGCCAACGCAGTTGGAACGCATTGGAGATTGGAATACTCGCTCGCTCGCAAATTGTCGTCGCTCGGCCAACAGATACAAAATGGTATCTATCATAGGGGCAGATTGTGCAATAGTTTATGATGTGATCTCGCTAATTTTTGGTAACCCCGCAGGAGGACGATGAGAAAATGGACATCATGCGCAAGGCATTCCAAATGTTCGACACACAAAAGACGGGCTTCATCGAGACCCTGCGGCTGAAGACGATCCTCAATAGCATGGGCCAGATGTTCGAGGAGAGCGAACTGCAGGCTCTGATCGACGACAACGATCCGGAGGACACCGGCAAGGTGAACTTCGATGGTTTCTGCAACATCGCCGCCCATTTCCTGGAGGAGGAGGACGCCGAGGCCATTCAGAAGGAGCTGAAGGAGGCCTTCCGTCTGTACGATCGCGAGGGCAATGGTTACATCACCACCTCAACGCTCAAGGAAATTCTCGCCGCCCTCGACGATAAGCTCTCCTCCAGCGATCTCGATGGAATCATCGCTGAGATTGATACTGATGGCTCCGGTACCGTGGACTTCGATGGTAAGTTAACCCAGTTATTTCCAAAAAAGTGTGGTGTTGAATAATCCCCTATTTTCACCCCCAGAATTCATGGAGATGATGGCGGGCGAGTAGTGTGCTGACAAAATCCAACAGAAAATCAAGCTTTTGTGTTTAATAATAATTTTTTATTATTTTTAAATAAATTAACTAAACGCTTTAATACAAACTTTAGTTCTTGTGGTCTGCGCGCAGTAATAATGAAACAGAAAAAAAAACTAAAGAAAGATACATGTCCATCTAGTTTATATAGTTTACTTGTTGCTCTTACTGGCTAGTCTGTCTAACTCTAGCTTAGACAAGGTTACTCGATAAGAACGATAAGAGATAAGTTAAACGGTTACAGATAAAGATACATATATAGTATTTACAGAATCGCTTATAACGATAATATATAATATATATACTATATATATGTAAGGTTAGCGGCCTATAAACATCTTTGCTATTTACACAAAACAAGAGAGCCGACACAAGTGCACTTCTCGAGATACGCATCTGCCAGTCCTATCTATCTCTGGATATAGATAAATATGTGCTACTCAAAGGGGGAGGAAGGGAGTCGGGCTCCTGTCTTTACGCTCTGTCTTAAGGCAACTAATTCCGTGGATTTTACAAAAGGCAGCATTTACTTGCACGAAGTCTGCAAAGTTTTCACCTAAACACTAGATACAAACATAACACATTCATATATATATGCTGTATGCTGAGGCTTAAGCCTCGGGGGTCGAAGAAATGGGATGGTCTTAAATTGTAAAGTTAAAGCATACAAAAGCTGGCACAAAAATTAAAGTATGTTACATGTAAATTTCGATTCTGATTGATTTTTGTTCTCATACTTATGTACATTAACATGAATATGTGTCATCCAAGAAAAACATACTTCCTATATTTCTCAAATAGTTAAAGCATTTTTCTAACCAAAGATTTTGCAAGGGGCCTTAGCAAACTAGCTCCTGTAAACTTATGTAGTAGCGCTAAATCTAACCTCTAGCCTACAATCAGTGCGGCGATTAAAGTAACCGTATAATAGGCACCTCTGAAGGATCCTCTGCTTTGCTTCGCTCAAGTACAGGCAACTTACGATTAAAAACTAACTATGAGGTTCCCACCAAAAAGCTGGGAACCAGGCTTTCAACAGAATAGGTTGAACGAAAACAGAAAACTAAATGCAACTTAGGTTAAACCTAAAACGATACTATGAACAGCTGCTGCCTATACAATCTTGATGGGCACATCGATCAGGCAGTCTGTTTCCAGCCGCCCTAACGTCTTCTTGACGCGCAGGGCTGTCAGCCGGACGGTGGGATTCGGGTGCCAGCACTCCAGCATGATCTTGGAGACGGTGGCCAGTACATCGTCCTCCTGCCAGCGCGTTGGTATCGGCGGGCGGAAGCCCTTCACACACACCACAGCGTGCATGTCCTCGAAGGTGGGATCCGAGGGCACCACATCGTGGTAAGGCAGGGCATAATCCTCGCAGGTGGTCGTCTTGGTGCCCGAGATGGGTGTGTAGCAGCGACGGGCCATCTCCCACAGGACCAGACCCACTGAGTACATATCCGCTCGCTTGAACTCCTCGAACTGCTTGGGATCCAGCTGTTGGCTCAACACCTCCGGAGCCATGTAGCGCCGTGTTCCTACACGTGGATTCTGGGCAATGTGAATGACATCCAGTTCCGAGTTGTACTTAACCGCCAGTCCAAAGTCAGCGATGGCGCACTGACCATTCCTCTTAACCAGTATGTTCTTGCTCTTGATATCGCGATGTGCAATAGCCGGTTTGCCGGGTGTGCCAAAGATCTCGTCGTGCAGGTGGGCCAATCCGGAGGCCAGAGAGAAGGCCAGCAGTTGTAGCTTCTGGGGATTAATCACCGACATGGAGAGGTAATCGTGCAGGCTGCCCATCTCGTGGTAGTCGGTGATCAGTAGCATCTGTGTCCAGCTGCCGTTACCCTTAATGTCGGCGGCAATGAAGCCCAGGATGTTGTCGTGGCGCATCAGCACAGTCTGATAAATCTCCGTCTCCCGGAACCAGGAAGCCTCTTCGGTGGTGAAGAAGGTCTTGACGGCCACCCGCTCATCGCGCCACTTGGCCAGCCAGACCTCTCCATACCGACCCTTGCCCACCAGTCGCACCATTTGGATCTGCTTGGCAATGGTTCTCTGCACGAGGAGTGGTAATCCCGATCCCGAGCCCGAACTCTGTTCCACCAGTTGTGACAAAGGCGAGAGCTGCGAATTGCACATGGAGTTGATGAGACGTGGTTGCTTGCGCAGCTTCTCGCGCCGCTTGTAGGTGAGGCACAGGCTGGCCAGGATCAGCATGAACACGGACAGGGAGACGATGATGGAGGCGAAGACGGCCAGCGTGTGGACGGACTCGCTGCTTACGGGCAAATCCGGCGCCGGGGTGGTCAGCTTGGGTGTGTAGGTGGGGTACAGGTCGCGGTTGCAGAAGTCCTCCTTGTCGCAGCACACGATGTTCTTGCCATGCAGGTGGGGTACAGCGGCCACTTTGCACTGTAACAGGAGGTTTGCATTAGTTATGGGTTCTTAATTTCATTAAAGGCAGGAAACTCACCATAAGGAAGCCGCCGTTGTCTTCAGGGGGCATACATCCGAAAGTGCGCTCCTCCTCGTACATTCCAGTCGTCTCATCGTACAGCTGTTGCACAGCGCTAAAGCAACTGCCTCCTGGTCTGGTCTCACAGGTTCCATTGCTCACATTGTCGGGACAGCTACCATCGCAGTAGCAGGTCAGCGAACGGGCTGTAATTATAAAAAACCGAGATTTTATAAGTATCTTTCTTGGATTAGCATTATAAATGTACAAATGTTTCTTTTATTTCTTTAATACCATGGATTTCCTCAAATTATTTTATTAATGTCCCGAATTTTACGACTCTTTTAATGTTGTTCTGCCTGATAATGTTGTTAGCCATCAGATCCCAAAAATCTTAGTTGCTAAACAGGTCTTTAAAATTTATGCATTTTTAAGACCTCTTATGAATGTGCAAAACTCCTATATGTTCAATTACAACTTCTAGTAGTAGCTTCAATATCTTTGGCCTGGAAAGCACTTAAAATTGATGAGTAGGCTGTTCTAATCCTTTCTAAGATGCAATCAATGGTATTAGTTCTTTAGGATTGAGAATGCTAGTAAAGTGCTAAGATTGGTGTCCAATAATACTAGCTTAGGTATTGGAATTATACCTCTTAATTATAATCTTTTTAGCCTTCTTAACTTTACTAAATTTCTGGACGCCTGCTAACGAAGGTAATTAGTCACTCCCTGTTTTTAAATACATATGGAACCCTTTAATATTGCTTACTTATGGAGTAGGTACTCATATGTATCTTTCATATTTCTATCTAAAATGCCTTACAATTTTTGAATAAATAGAAAATCCCTATTCTTTAATATTAGGTACTCCTCTAAATCAATCATATCCTGACTCTGCGATTATAAACGCCTGCAAAAAGCGAACCGCATGCAGGAACTCTAGCATGAAAATGCGTTTGAGCATGAAGAGTGGGTTGTGGCTGTCAGTGGCAAGTTGCAAGTTGCAAGCAGCAAGTAGCAAGTAGCTGGTAACGGTAGCTCGGGCAATTGATTCAGGTCGCTGGCAAATCTGCAACTAATTACAAGCTCGTTGCAAGTGGCTGCTGTTTCTGCTCGGTAGTTTGGTAGCTTGGTGGCTTGGTACCCCAGTAGCTGCCTTATCCACTTGACCAAACTGCTGGTGGAGTACATGGCGTACATGGAGCACATGAGCACACACAGTTCGACCGTTATGGAGTGGGCGTTGTGGCCATTGGGCGCTAGTTTTACGGCCATTTGCCGCCTGCGACAGCCATCGAGAAAAGCATTAAGTGCGTTTTTCCGCGGGAGACAGCCGTTAGATGAATGAGTTACGGTCGAGTGGGTGGCTTTCCCATGGATCGCTGGATCGCTGGATCGTTGGATCGCTGGATAGTCGGATTGCTGAAGTAAGTACCCCGACCTGCTCAATACTGTTTCGCATTTAATTGCATTCAGCCGCTTGCAGTACGGTTCATTCATAAAAACGCCTTGAATGCCATATTTTTTATGGTTCCTCTGGTGGCTGTGGCAAAAGGTGATTTGTTTACTCCGCCAACAGTGCGAGGTATTTAGCATATTTTTAGACATTTTTATCGACCATTTATAAGTCGTAAAGCTTGGAGCACAGAACGGATGTGTGTCATTGTGCATCTGCTGGATTCTTTTGTACTCTACTCTGCACTTTTGCTGACTAGCTTTCGGTGGGATTGTTTTCCGATTCTCATTATTGTTTATTGGCTCTCGCAATTCTGGGAAAACAAAACTCTCGGATTCCATTCGCTTATTTACGCTCAAACAAGCTCGTTACAAGACCCCAACCATCCATCAAAGCCACAACATTCACACGAAACGAGATCGCAGTTAAGAGCTATTAATGGTAATGCCTTAAAATGCTCTAAAAGATACAATTCGGTTGATTAACGATGCGAATTCCTAGTGTTTTTTTGTTTGTTTTTTTGGGGGAACTACATATCTGAACAGGTCGCGTGTTGTCAAGGCTGTGGCAAAAAAAAAGATACAAGTGACACATGCCCAATGGAAACTGCATGCCATTCACAGCTTGCAGTTCCAATAGTTGCAGATACACAAATACTAAACAAACGCAAAAAAAAGCGAAAACGAAACGGATGTAGCCTGCATTTGGCTGGCCACGCCCATTTGCCCCGGCGAGATAATAATTTAATTACAATTTAATAGCCAGCGACAGCTGCTATTTTGCGCGCTGTCGCCACGTGTTTCACGGGCGGTTTTTATCGCGCCAATTGTATATGCTGTTGTTTGGCATGCAAAACGTGCAAAGATATATGCTCAATTGTTTCGGATTTCATTGAAAAACCCAAGTTTTTAGCTAGCCAAAATAGTTTTATAATGCTGCCAAGTTTTATTCGCAAATACCTGTTGCTTCTTGCATCTTTTTCAGGAAGGAAAATCACTGAGAAGGCAGAGAACGATGACCACGTAGCACGGTAGCCTGTTGCGGTGCAGACAAATTATGAATTTCTTACCAGACCAGACCGAAAAAAACTAAAAAAAAAAAAAGGGGAGAAATCCCAAACCAAATTATGAAACGAACCGCGGACAACCAAGTGGCATCCGCCGGGTGAGAGGATGGGGAAAAGGGGCTTTGGAGGAAGACGTCGCGCTTCGAAATCAAATTGTTGCCTCTTTCGGTTAGCTGTTTCTACAGCTCGAGGGGCAAGAAGTAATGTGGCGGCTCCAAGTTGGCGCCAAGTGCACGCGCTTGCCACTCAGCAAAAGCCGAAAAGTGAGGAGGGAAAAAAGAATCTGGGGAAACTAAACCGATTCTGGCTGGCAGGCCCAGAACAAAGCAATCTCCAGGTTGGCCTTGTGTGTGTATGTTTGTTAGCTGGTTGCAATAAACAACCAATTTTATGTGAAACTCTTCAAACACGAAGGCGAAGTCACAGCAACAACAGCAGACCCTATATGGCCGGCATTCGAACGCACAAAGATGCAGCATCGTAAAATAATATTTCCAATCATAAACGATTGGCAGAAACAAAAAACGAGAACTGATTCCAATCATAATTGACATTATTCCAAACATGCCACTGGAGATATTTCTTGTTATATTTTATGAGATAGCCTATTTGAGGAAAGGAATCAAACACAAACGAAAATACATTTCTTATGTATGATATATAATGGTTAAATAAAAAATTGTTATAATCAAATCATATGATATTTTATTTCTTTTATAATGCGGGGTATCTAAGAAAACCAAATTTAAGAGTGAATCTTTGATTTTTCCTTAGTTAAAATTCGTAATGGTACGAAGATCATTTGGTATGTAATTATAGAAAAATAAAAAACTTTATAATCATAGTCGTAATATTTTTATAATCCCTGGCCCTGTCAGGTACTTTTTTATATTCATTTGTCACTCTAAGTTTTTTTAAGGAATACCACTAGTAATATCTAACAAGATAAACCCCCATTTTAATATAATGAAATCCTATGAACATTAGTTTTTAATGTTTATTCAATTTAAGATAGTCTAAGTTCAAGAACTTCTGTATAAGTTTTCCTTTAAAGCCTGCAAAAAATTCCAAAACGATGAGGAAGGGATGGGATGAGCTCAAGCTGAAGGCTGTGGCTTTTCCATCGGTTCCTGTGGGTGGAGCAAGCCAATTGAAAATGCAGTGAAGATATATATTTTTAGCCCGGCCAGCCAGTTGATGCGATGTTTGCGGCACGATCTCGACAGGGAGGCGGCAGGCGGCCCACGCCCACAGCCCACAGCTCACGGCTCTCGGAGATTGGAGATCGGATCATCGTGGTGGTGACTATGGGACTATGATGATGATAAACGAACGCTTGGGTGGTGGGGCATCAGCAACACCGGGGAAAACTGCACCCATGTGATAGAGAGCGTTGGCAGCGGAAATCGTTAGCTGAATCATGCCATAAAATATTCCCCACATGCCGTCGACAGTGCGTTGCAAAACTATAAAGCCATCTCGGTCGACAGACCTTTGAACAGCCAACGGAGATGACTGTTCTCTTTTTTTGTCCGTGCCATTACTTTTTCAGCCCACTGTTTATGGCTCTCAAGCAGCTGTGCAAAGTCGAGAGTCTAATTAAAATTGCAATCCATATAAAGTAATTACGGGTCAATGTTAATCTCTTTGGGGATTCGCATTCCAAGTTGGGCATTTCGTACAGAAAAGGAAATACAATCGAAGCTCAGGGGTTTGATTGTTTCAATTAAACTTTAAAGAGCAAAGTTTCTGATAAACAGTCTTAAACAAGGTAAGGGGAGCAAACTTATCAAATAAGGTCGGTTAAAGTAAATTAAGTACGTTATCGAATTGGGTTAGTTGTAGATAAAGCTAATCTGGTGATCACCTTCAATTAGTGATATAACAAGTTCTGCTACAGAACTGAGCAAGTTTCTTACTTAGCGCAATTAGCGAGATGAATATGCTGAATTTAAGATAAGAATATCGTATCAGTTAAGGAAATAAGTTGGAAATAATGGGATCTTATAAATTTAACTGTTGAAAATATTCATATAGTTCATATTACACATGTTTAACTGTGGGAAGTAACAACAGAAAGTGCTTACGCAGTCATGTGATCGGAAAAAATACACAAATCTATCTACTACTCGTAGTACTCAAAGTTCAAAACACACACCTGATGGCGGTGCTGGAGTGAGCTCATCAATGGAATGGAATGAATTGGCTCATGCATCATCAGCTCCCTAATTCTAATTCAAACAAAGGCAGCAGTTATTGCAAAAGCAACAAAGACAAAAAGCCTGTGACGTCTGAGGAGATACTTAGCTAGGACACGAACCTATTTTGGAGGATTACGGAAAAACTAAATTGAAATACCCTTTCCTAAAAATGTTTCATTTTAAAATTTAAGTTTCATGCTTACTAAAAATTTTTAGTGTTTCATAAAATAGAATCGATGGAAAATGTTTAAGTACAATATGGTTAAAAATGTATTTCCTATAATATGATGTTAAACATGAAAATCTGTTAAAATTCTTTCTGAATCGTAAAAATTTTTAATTTACTTTTACTTTTTCTTTTTGGGTAAATTAAAAAAAGAAAGCGATGTAAGTATCGTATAACTTGGTTAAAAGTTAATTTTCTTAAATATATCTATAAACTTTTTCCATTTTCAATTACACTTTTCTTTAAAATATTTCTTA